TTGGCACATTCAAGTAACACTTTTGATCTCTACATAACCAGTTTTTTATTCTCTATCGACATACCTAGGTCTCAAGCAAAGTTCTACGGGGCTTTATATGCCGTCCCCGGTCAGTACTTCCTCATAGATTTAATTCCCTTAGTTGTGCCGCTTTTTATTTTTACTAACGTGATCAAACTGTTTGTAACGCTCCACTGAACAATTACGATAACGACAACGTGATGATGACCTTTTTGGTATAGAAGTTTATTACGGTAGTTGAGCCGTTCGGTCAGGTGGTCATAAATCGCTTCGATCTTCTCAGGCTCTGAAGAAGGCGATCTCGCGGAAACGTCAGCCGTCAATAAAGATCAGTAGCAACTTGTGAAGGGTTAAAACAGAAGGAGCTAGTAGCTACACGATGCCGAGGTTCACGGGAAGCCGTACATGGCGGCTCCACTGAACATAGGACAATCAAGCAAACAGTCCGATCTAACCAAAATTAAGTGAAGCTGATTGAGCTTATGAGTAAAAGACGTTGGGTAATATGCTGAGGAAGGAGGCACGGGAGAACAAAGATGTCGTAGAGGGTCTAAGTCACTAACGAACTGCATGAAAGCTGCTTCAGCCGTCCGACCAGCAGTTATATTAATGTATACGGCTATGAAAGCCTTCAAAAGCTATGAACATACACTATTAATGCTAGCGAAATTAGCATGTTTATGGGCTCTTGTTCATGTCCAACGAGATAGACTGGAAGAGTTCATCAGATGAATGATATGATGATAAAAGATTTGATGATAATAAAAGAAACCTGCTGTAGATCTCTTCTCTGGTCAGATGCATCGCTGATTCGATTACTAATCTATTCGAAACGACTATTAACAAGCTGGGGGAGGTCCTTGTAGCTAGGGAGCGTTTTATCAAGACGACTTCTGGCGGCTGTAGGGGCTCTCACGTGGACTACAAAACTGAAGGTCATTATTACTAAGCGGCCTCCTGAGGCCAAAAAACTAGGGTTATTTCACAGAGTTGGAGTGATGCTTGGAAACTCTTGCGTACGCGATCTTGGTAGTAAATTTGAAACCTGCTGTTGCGCATGCAGTTTGAAAGGAATTTAAAAGCTCGAAATTGAAATGCAAAAATGTTTGGAACCGGAGAATTGAACCTCGGGCACCTCCTTCAGCGCTTTGTCTGTTTCACACGGATGCTCAGAGAACATGGACCTTGGGTTTGTAGTATAGGCAAAAAATTCTACAAAATACAGAAAATATGTTCCAAAGAACCTCTCCCCACACCCTGAAAGACTCCCGTTGTAACGCCCTCTTAGAAAAGCCGGCAGAGTAACAGCCCTCCAAAAACCATGTTTATGGTCAAGTTGAGAAATGTGTTCTGCATACCTATGCACTAAATGATGTACTTAAATGTGACCTATATGTTTAAGTTTTTCGTTCCAGCTACAGCGAAATGGCTATGGTATCAACAAAAAGCTGTTGTTCTCTACAGAAAGGCATCGACGAAACCAATTCACAGGCAAGGAATAGCTCATGAAGATAATCGAGAATAATCAAAAAGGCGATGCAATCGATCAACAGAGCTATCTGTGGCATGAGCAAATAAGGAACACATGTCATTCTAAAAAAACATACCTCTGGAAGTGACCTTGCCGCTGTCAACGCCTGCTAACGCCAAATATTGGAGGCATACATTTAGACCGTCAATCTGAAAGCAGGAAAGTTGACTATTGCAGTGATTTATCTCATAACCTCTACAGAAACTTCCAATGTGAGATGGAAGAGAGTAAAACTTCTCGAAGCATGCAGCACCGGTCCAAAACTACAACACTGGTTAACCCATTTTTGGTAGCGCCACCTATTGGAGCTATTCCCAGAATCGTAGTGGCATTTGAATACAAACTAAGCTACTTCATTCTATCGTAACTCTGATACCATGTAACCGACCCCGGAATATTGGTTGGCCAGGGCGCTCTACGGTACACATGATCAAATCCCAGGATCCTGCGAGTGATAAGGAGCGTCACTTGTCACTACTCCAAATCCCTTCGAAAATACGAAGACATAAAGTTCCGGTCAGAAACGACTGCAAGGGATCTGCTAAAATGCCTTCTATGGAGAACTTGGCTTTGACGGTAAGGAATGGAATGCGGACAATCGAGCCTCAAAGGCTCATCAGGAGTTCTCACCGCTGTGGTGCATTTGCGGTGTTTTTTCGTGCTACAAAACCAGTTTCTAGTTATCTTATTGCAGGAGTGGGAAGCTTGTCTAGGCCGATAAGATTATGTACTCTCATCACAGGCTACCGTGTTTCTCTTCTCATGATGCTACCATCTTTACTCATCCTGCCAGGGTAACGAAGTAAGCAATAAATTGCTCAGTAGCACTGCAGAGATCCCAATTTCCTGTGCATTTTTTCAAAAGAATGAGTGCCGTAACTGTGTTTTACCTATCCTTCATTTTATCTATTTTCTATAGCACAGATGTCCGACGTTCAATGAATCCTGGCATCGTGTGTGGTGTTCGTCCTAGGTCTGCTTCTGAAGCCACAAGCTAAGAAAACTGGCTCGTCGCTTGTGGCACTAGAAGCGAACCTATGGCAAATATTGATCTTGTACCTACCCTAGGGAAGAGTGACCAGTTCACAAATCAAATTCATCATGTCCATCCTTCTATTGAATGCTCGTCAAGGATTAAGTCCCAATGAAGGGATTGTCGACCCCGTTCCGTCACCTACTCTCCGACGTGACAGATTTGATCGAGGGACATGATTAGGACATATTTCGATGCGTGCGTTGTAATTTCATTAACACCAGAACCACCAGCGATGCGCCTCGTAAACAATTAAGTGCAGTCGCCTTCTGAGAGAGCCGGGAAGAGGGATTAGCCGAAGATGCGGATCGGATGAGGAGAGCGTCGAGACGCAGCGTGTATATGATGCAGCCTATTAAAATGTGCTCAATGGACGAATGGTGGCATTCGTGCCGGAGTCGAGCACCTTTTAAACGATGACTCATCAAGAAGAATGGTAAGGCGTGTTTGTTTGAAAAGGAATCGCGTCAAGGAATGGCGAAATAGGTATCATTTGAGTTCCTAGTTGCTGTAGGAAAATACATCTACATGTAGAAAACATGAAAACATTCTGAAAAATCCCGCGATTGGAGGGAAGCACAAAAATGGGCGCTATCGCAAAATACGGGAGCATCGTTGTGACAATGCACCTTAAAATCACATAGTTTATCACGTTTTGGTGAAACTGAGCTGGGAGGGGGGCTAAGCCTTGGGCAGGGGACGAGAGACTCCAAGGTGTGTGAGCAATTTTTGTTTTCCTAAAAGTTTCCTCATTTCGTTTCGTTTCCTCCCTCCTACTAGGCATAGAGGATGCTAAGTATTTTGCGATAGCGCCCAAAAAAGTTCTGCGTCATAGGCATGTTCAACAGAGGACAGCTTTCAAGAGATCGTGTTCATGAGCCAACGAACAAAACTTCTCGCGTCACCGCATGAATACTTCTCACGTTACTCTTCAAAACCTGATCTCTAAGACTCATATTACATAGTCGAGAATACAAGAATAGATAATACACCGATTATCATAGCACGATTTGCAAGTTGAGAAGGGTGAATGGCAAGAAGAAACGGAAACACATTCCGAAAAAAGTGACAAAGCGAAAGGAGAAGTACTAATGGCACTTCCGCTCTCAACTACTACCTCTGCTTCATGGAATGTTTCAAAAGAATCAGCCATGCAACAATTAAGGAAGGAGGATGTAAGGGGACCCTTTCCAGTCGTTGAAGGCATACCTCACAATCCATTGTGTGATTCTTGCATGAATCAAAGCAGAGTTGCGAATTGGGCCTACAGCAATTGGAAGGAAAATAATTCGCTGAAATACAGACTCAGAATTATGACTCGGATGAGCTAAGCCAATGAGACACTGAGCAGGCAGAAGAGAAGATAAGATGAGAAAGCACTATGGGCGAGAGGGTGCAGACATCCACGTTGTTGGAAGGAAAAAATGGAAGCTGCTGAAACGGTCTTGAAAAGGCCCTAACGCCCTGCTCGGGCAATTTTGGGCCAAGAAAACAGCACATTTGCGAATTTAGTGAACATTATCCTACCTGACCAAAGGGTTGGTCCACCCAAACTCAACGCGAAATGTGCTTTTCATTCGTGGCTTTATTTTGCTTTCACTGGCTTCTAGACGCTACACACTTGTTGATATCCTTTGAGAAAATAAAAAGCAAATGCTTCATTTTTTTGAGACTGAATTGACCAGTGGTGAGCTACCAGGGAATTAGACAGCAGGCAAAAGAACACGTACTTCGCGGCAATCATAACCATGACAAACTCGCTAGGAAAATTTTCGCTGCTATAGTGAAAGGAGGCCGAAATTACTAACCTTGGATAAGATTTGCAACCAGATTTTAGCAATTTGTCAGACTTTTTCGGAAAATGCTGGAGTAATACTGTATTGCTCTCTCACCAGACTGTAACTGGACACCGCAAAAAATTCGTTCTCACTTCTTTGTTGCAGTTTCTTGAGCCTAGTTCTGTGCAAATATTCTTACTTGGACAAATACCGAGCTACTGACAGAAAGCCTTGCCTAAACCAGGACTCGCAGCGGCTCTCACGCATCATAGCAGGTGTCGCAGCCCGAGAGCATGTTTCTGTCTTGGTTCCGTGATACCCTTCAATGATGTAATATTACCGTGTCTCCGACTCAACTCACTCAGTCGAAATGTGAAGAGCCGCTGTGAGAGGCGGATCTAGGGTACCACACCTTACTACGGAATCAAGAGATCCAGATTCCAAATCCCAGGCGGACAGGGTCTTGCTTCTGCGTGTCCGAACTCACGAGCATGTTCGATTCAAGCTGAGAAGATCATTTCCGAAGTATTGCCAAGGCGCGCGGAGAAAATTAACATTTTCTATTTTTAGATTCGGCATAAGTTTACCTCCCTGGTATGTTGTGTGTTTTATACGGCTATAAGCTTACTATACATCTAAAGCACCAGATATGCCTGCTTAGTTCAGGTAGGGAACAATTCCAAAATGTTGATTGAAATAGACAACAACCGATGAAAGCTTCAGTTGATCTTCAAGCATCTATTCCCATCAAGAGGCGCATGGTTTCGGAAACAGATTTATGAAAGACTTAGGTTTGGGCTTGGAATCTAGCCTTGGAAAGGAAAGGATATTGGAGCTGGGAATCATTTCCGGGTTCTTGTGGTTGGAAAATCCAAAAGGGTGACAGCGCGAGCGGCAGTTTCGGGGAGTGACTGGCTCGAAGAAAATTCAATCAGCGCGTATTGAACAAATAAAGCACACGATCTGAAACAAGATTGAGAAGACTTCATGACATATCCCGAACGCTGTAATATCGAGTAGCTTCCCCCGTTAGCAAAAGTAAAACGCTGCAAAAACCGAAGAAAGTGGGAAACGGAGATCGGCCTCTGAGCGGATGATTATTTTGGCTTATTTCCGACGATCATTTGTCCAAGGCTAAGAAGATGGCGAAGGATTGCAATTTACGATGGCTATAGAGACAATTTGTTCGCTTCTTTTTTCGCGATGCCGGCGCGGTTACGCTCGATGTGTGTAAAACATCGGTCCGTGGTCAAGTCTGAGACAAGGAAAGAGAAAAAGAGGAAGATGGACGACTTTAAAAGTGACAAGGGCGAATGAGGGCTGGACAGTGAAGCAGTGAACTCAAATTCTCACTTTCATTATAAAAACTTAATTGGAAATGAGTCACCACAGGAGGACAGGGGCAAAGCAGAGGGGCTGAAATGAAAAACCTTCAGCGAAAGGAAAGAAAAAATGAAATAATTGAAACGCAGGAACATTCAGTTTTGAAGTTTTGAAGGCATCCTTAGCTCAAAGTCGCAGAAGAAAACTTGAATTGGGGTCTTTAAAAGATCTAGGTGCAGCGATTTTGAAAGGGTCCGCGACCTCGTCGCAATAGGGAAGCTTTTAAAGGGCTAGGGATCCCTTGAAAAAAAGAGGTCCTAGAATGACCTGCAGCAGCTGCTCAAGGAGAGCTCCGAAGGTGATGCTCTAATCGAAAATCTGACCAATGTGTTAATTATGTGCAACTACAAAATCTCGCACATTAGCATGAAATGACCGGTAATTGATGCGAATATGCGCAGACGTAGTGTATAGATGCTGATTGCGCTATGAACCAGCCGGCTCCTCTACGATGCCACCAATTATGTCAATTAGTCTACTGCTCTACACCTAGGTAATTCACCAGATCAACATCATTCGGAGCACGATGAGCTGGTACGCATGAAAGCTCGCATCTATTAGCTAATACAATCAAACAACAGGTTTTATATACACAAAAACACTTTACGTGAAGGAAATAATGCAGCTCTGAGTTATCTATCACAAGAATGCTGAATTGTGGGCAAATCTTTGGTAGCTTTACCATCAAAGCTGAGCTGAGTTGGGGTGAAATAGTGCCCCGGTGGTGCAACTGGTAGCACATGCCAGAAAAGCAAGAGATCCGAGTACGAATTCCCGGCTGGGGCGAAAGTTTTGCTTACAACTCAGCACTAGCCGTTATCCAACAAAAGCAGTTCCGGGTTTTTCTGATAGTTTTGGCTCCAGTATCAGCTCAAATACATCTTTTGCGCACTACGAGTTGGTAGAGTAAGGCCGACGTCATACTTTGCGAATCGAGCGAATCGCTAGCGAATCGCTCGAAATTCGCAGAGTAGGACGTCGGCTAATGCGTTCTATCGAGCTGACCATATTTCCAAGTATGCACACAATTAAAGTACATAATACTGCGAAAATAGAGAGAAAACAGAAGAGTGAGTGACCCTCTTTCGTCATCTGCTTGCCATAACGTTTCCCTGAATATTAACTCAGTTGCGCTGAGTATTCCCACCGGCCCACTGACCAATGAACCTTTAAGTTGGGTAATTAGAGTGGTTTGATTAATCATCTGCATATGAACCCTCCCTTTCAAGAAAAGAGAAGAGCGTTGGGTGCATACCATGCACGACAAGTGACGCGGCCTCCAAGTAAATCTGGTTAGTGGTGGCTGTGATAGACGGCGTTTCTGCGTAAAATATAATGATATTAGTGACAAATGATAGATAGAACTACAAAAAGGCTAATAATTTCATCGGTCGAAGGGAAAACATTTTTCCGTGGAGGTCGGTCTAGCACTTGTAGCGTATGTAGTGCACCCGATGTTTCTCGTTTGAAAGGAGGGTATTGTTCATAGGTCACGCAATTGGACGGTGGAAGTCGGTGGAAAAGAGCAACTTCATGCAGTATGTATTAAAACGGTTCCTAGCAAACGATCCATTTAAAGAATAACGAGTGTAAGTTGTCTAAAAATTCATAAAAAGCTTCACGTAGGAATCGATTCGTTATATGAGAGCCTTTGAATATTTGAATGGCTTAAGCGCGCCGTTTTCGAGATGCTTGCCCAGAAAGCGCATGGCAATCGTGTTTATGTTCAAGGCTTTATGCCTCATATTTTCGCAAGACGACTGACCTCAAATGTGTCGCGCACCTCATTTACGTGTCGAAGGTGTGTGCGCGCAAACATAGGACAGCTGCTCCGCAACGACATTACAGCCGAATCTGTTTGACACAACTGGTCATTAGAACTATTACGGAGCACTGTGTTGAGAAGAACCGATTAGTAAGAGAAGTGAGCTGCAGCTGAACCCTTCATATCGCATGACATCGAAAAAAGTCGATCAAAAGTTGATTCATGTCGACGCATGAAGCAGACTCCCTAGAGAATCCGCGAACCTCGAAGAAGCAGATAAAGGAAATTCGCCCTAACTGGGCAAGCAGCATCTAAATTTCGGTGCGTGGTTGGAGAACTTTTAGCAATTTCTCAATTGGACCGCGAAGGGCGAAAGCGCTTAGGGTTTGGAGAGAGTGTCGGGCTCAGCGCTATTATCGTTCTTTGAACATCTCCACTATATCATTTTGTACGCATTCCTTGCAAAATACCGACTGTCCGAACAAGCATTCAAGCTTTTTATTCCCCAAGATGTTAGTACAAAGAATTCTTTGAGGAGGAACCAATCGACATTGTTGCTCTGTATGAAGTCATTACATCTTTCTCAATCTTAGCTAGGTAGAATCTCCCTGTCACGTTTTTCATCGAACTCAGATGGATTCCAACTCTTTCGGTCCAAAGATAACCTTGAAGAGCGGTGTCTTGAGGGCTTTGGACTCATACATATACTTGCCGCAGATAAACGTTGTGCTAATCTTTCTGCCTTCATCTTTATTGCCCAGCCGTTACCCTTCTTTTAACCATGACTAGCATCTAACCAGCTACGGGTTGATACCTTAGCAAAACATCAGTAATTTGTCGTAAAGACAGATCGTAGCTCGCAATAATTCAAACAGATAGGCCGGAAACAAAACTTGAAAAAAAGATCTAATGAAGTGATCGGAACTTACGTTGGTATTGACTCGTGACAAATGTGATGTGAACTGTGGTGAATTGGCGTTATCGGGCACTGAAATTGAATCTTTTAAAGAAGGTTAATTGTCCAATGTACACACTGATTCGAGCGCTGTACAAATAAAGGAATTCCGTAATAAAAACAAGAAAGAGGAAAGAAGGCAAGAAAAGGCTCAAAAACGTCCTCCATAACCGTTGATCAGATACTCCTACATAAAAGGTGCAATTTTCCAAGTGCCTTGGGAAGGGAGCCTGCGGAGCGCGTTTATGGTTTTTGGATGGAGATTTTGTACTCCACACCTTGATTACCATGTCGAACTGGCTGTGCAAAGCTCAAGATACGTCATTTCGAATGAACATGAGTA